CAAAGTATTGTTTTATGTCTGTTTTTTTCATCAAAATACCTCATACAGCCATAGATTTTAAACCATTACATCCTATCTAGATTCCATATTAGATCATTAACATTTCTTCTAGATTCCACTATTATTTCTTTGCATCCTTTATTTTTAGTATCTTAAAAATATTTTATTAAATATAACACATACATTCAGAAAAGTACAGAAAATATAACTTAAGGTATACCTTAACATGTTATCGTAAGTTATTTGCCCATGTAACCACCAACCTCGTCCAGAAACATGTTCCAACCGGTATCCAAGAAGCCCACAGATGTCCTTTTCAGTTCACACCTCCTTACCTCTCGCCTGGACGGACTCCTTACCCCAACCTCTATGGAATCACCTCTTTGTTCTTGATAGTTTTACTGCCCAAGTATGAATCCAGAAATAAGTGTTTCTCAGTTTTCTTTTCATTTTAGTCCCCCTAAGAAGCCTTTTTAGAAGTTTTCTTCCTAATTCTACCCCCATGCCCCTGTGGTGGAATTTCAAAACCACAGACATATTGTATGTTGGTTTATGTTATATGATCCTTTGGAGGGCAGCAGACCATTATAATAGGTAACGTTTTCTTTTACTCTAAGGAGCAATTTTCACTCCACTGTAGGTGGCACTGCCTCCACTACGAATGAATGTCCTAACTAACCTTAGCTTTGCTATTTTTGAGCTCTATATAGAGAAAATTATACAAAATAGGTTTTTGGGGTCTGGTCTCTTTTGCTTAACATAGTGTTCAAGGATCCCCCAGCTGGTCCCACTCAGCTGTAAGCCATTTTATGAACACCACAGTTCTTCATTTTCTTGGAACAAACACTTGGGTTATTTTCTGTTTGGGGCTATTATAAACGATGCTGCTCTGAACATTCCCGTCTCCGGGTGCCTACGTACTCCTTTCTTGTGGAGTGTATATCCACACGATTCCTGAACCATAGTGTATGAGTATCTTCCACTTTACCAAATTGTTTTCCAAAACACTTGTACAAATATACACCCTTATTCGAAAAATAGAGTCCTGAAACAATTTTCTTACCTTAAAAGGTAAGTTCGGCAAAATATCTCCCACGCCGTCTTTTTCTTTTAAGATCTGAAAATCACTGTGCAAAGGACTATCAGGGTCAATCCTAAGAATCCCAAAACAAAAAACAGTTCAAACAAAAAGATATTTTTTATTTTCACCTAACTCAAAAACGAACGAATCTGAAAGCTAAAATAGAGCACCTAGGGTCAGTTCCAGAAAGAGAAGATCTTAAGCTGCTCTAATTTCCCAGGAAAAAGAGAGGCCATTATAGCTTCCAGTTCCTTTACAATAAATGTCCAAAAGAGATCATAATAGCCTAATTCTGATCTAATAAGGGGGTTCAGAGTTTGCAGTCATTCTAAAGGAAAACAGTCACGTGTATACAATTTTCTCAAGAATTCAAAGGAAGTTTAATATGCTTTCCTAAACTTGTACTATCAGCCAAGGGGTTCAAGGAGAACAATCTGCCATGGACAGAACTATGTGTTCTGACAGAGTGTGTCACTCTGTCACCCAGGCTGGAATATAATGGTGGAATCACAGCGCATTGCAGCCTTGACCTCTCCAAGCTCAAACGATCTTCCTGCCTCAGCCTCCCAGCACCCCTAGGAGATGGGACTACAGGTGTACTCCACCTATATATTTTAAAAGTAATAAGATAACTATCTCCGCAATAAGAGTTGATTCTGATGCTTTCAAAACTGGGGGAAAAGTCATAAAAATCAACTTGGCAATCATTCTCTGTCTAATGAAATGCATTGCTCTTATTTACTTTCCAAGCAATATTGCTGAAGCTTGAGCTTTTTGCTAGAAGATAAAAATCATGTAAGAGTTCACTCTATCAGGAAAATACAAAAACAGTTCTCATGGAGGTATAAAAACGTTTCTTTAATTCCAAAAAACAAGTAAACTCATCCTATCTTACCCCCTACATCTTTTGGAACTTGATTATCTTTGAATTTCACAAAATAAAGCTAGTAAACATTTCCATTTTGGTCCACTTTTAAGAAAGGACATTTATAATCTGACAACAGAAAAGAGCAAAAGAACTAGAAGAAGAGCAGGGATTTAGAGATCCTTTCCTGTCGTGTAACTCTGTGATCTGTATATGTCCCTGAGCTCTTTCATACGTCTGTCTGAAGCTTGCACTGACCCAGACACTGCAGCCTGAAACACAAAAGCCACTGTTTACCAGGGTCTACTGAGCCAACTAATCTAAAGATTTAAGGTATTTCAACCTGATCTAAAAGATTACAGTAGCCAGGCGTGGTGGCTCACTCCAGTAATCCCAGCACTTTGGGAGGCCGAGGAGGGTGGATCACTTGAGGTCAGGAGTTTGAAACCGGTCTGGCCGACAAGATGAAACCCCATCTCTACCAAAATAATACAAAGGTTAGCTGGGCATGGTTGCACGTGCCTGTAGTCCCAGCTACTCTGGAGGCTGACGCAGGAGAATCTCTTGAAACTGCGAGGTAGAGGTAGCAATGAGCTGAGATGGCACCTCTGCACTCTGGCCTGGGCCACAGAGCGAGACTCCGTCTTAAAAGAAAAAAAAGAAAAAGATTGCAATAAACATGGATCATCACTCAACAGTTTAAGAAGTAAAAAAAAAAGTCCAATTAAATGAAGCATTATGAAGTTTCAAGAGAATATAAAGCTAGACACGAGTCTGTTCATTTCCTATTTCTTATCATCTGAAAAACTCTAGCCAACATGTTCCGACCACCAGGGAATCCACGATAGCAGAGAATTCAGTATGAGTCTATTCCAAACCCCAGCAATTTTTGAAAATACTAGAAGACACTCAAGGTGACACATTCTAACTAACACAGACTTCCATCCATAAGGCTACAAGCAAGAATATTACACAGACGGTCTAGTTCACACGTGGAGACTCTGAGAACCATGTGTGCCTACATGCAACTGGTCTGAGTTTTTCAGTGCGGGGACTTCTCTAAAGAGGAAAACATATCGATATCTTATCCTAAGACTAAATAGAAATGGAACTACTTTTTGGTCATGTGAAACTAAAGGTTTTAAAGACTGCACTATACTCTGAAAAAGAAAATAAATCATGTTTACAAAGGTATTACTTCCTAGCTATGTAACCATGAACTCATTTCCTATCTCTAAAATATGAGAAGTTTCTCCTCTCTCTAAAATATGAAGAGCACCTATTTCACACAGTGGCTATGAAGACTAAATCAGAAGATATATAAAGTACTTAGCATAGTATCGGTCATACGAAAGTGTTCAATAATTTACACTTGTTTTGAAGATAACTCAAACTGGGATCGATCACAAGACACGGAAAGTACAGTAACATTAATTCAAATGCTACAAAGTTAGTTTTTTAAATAATCAAGATATGAGAAATTGACTAAATGTCTTTCCTCTATGAGGAATTATTAATTAAATTAATATATAACTAAGACTAAAGTAGGGAGAGTTATTTACCTGGTTTCAACACTTGGCATCTACTTGCCTACCAATTAATTCCCTGTTTTGGAGAATCTGTGCCCAAGACAAAGTAACTGGTTCTCAGCTTTCGTGGAGTTGGTAAATAGCTCTAATGGGAGACAGGAAGTAGTAAGTGTTCAGACAATCACCTGACCTTTCCCTACTCTGTCTGAGCGTTTCATGTATTTATACGTCGTTCTCATCTATTTTTCATAGCAGTCATCCAAAAGGTATGTACTGTCTATCCATATTTTACAGTTGAGCAAAATGAAACCAAAAAAGGTGTGTTTGTCACCAAACTCAAGGTTCCTTTCATATCCTGCCGCTTCACATAAAAGAGATGTTAAGTGAAAAGAGAAGAATAACTTTTGGTTTGGTCACAGCAGGATGGACCAAAATCAGCTTCCTGAAGGAGAAATAATTTGAGTTGTTTTGTAGGAGAGAATGAATGTGAGTATACAGATGCCACAGAAGGAAGGTAAGCAGAGAAAACAGCATAAACAGGCCGGAAAGGGGCATACACAGGGATCAGCAGGTGGTTCCAGGATGTGAAGAGCAGATGAACAGGGTAAAAAGTAGCTATTCATAGATGAGAAAGATAACCTTGGGCAAGAAAACGTATGACTGTGGCTAGGCACGGTGGCTCATGCCTGTAATCCCAGCACTTTGGCAGGCCGAGGTAGAAGGATCGCTTGAACTCAGGTGTTAAAGAGCAGCATGGTCAACATAGTGAGACCTCATCTCTACTAAAAATCGAAAAAAGTAGCCTGGTGTGGTGGCACATGCGTATAGTCCAAGATACTTGGGAGGCTGAGGCAGGAGGATCGCTGGAGTATGAGAGATCAAGGCTACTGTGAACTATGATTGTGCCACCGCACTCTAGCCCAGGCGACAGAGCAAGACCCTGTCTCCAAACCAATAAACAGATGACTGAATCTACCACTAAGGCAGGAATGGAGGAGGAGAGCAGCTGAATTCGGCAGGTTCACGAATTGCCAGGTATTAACTATAATTACTTCACCAAAAAGTCCAGGCTCTAGCTATTTATACACACTTACACATTTAAATGGTCTTGCCTTTCAGTCTTCCTAATTTTCTCTAATATTGCCAAATTTTCTTTTTCAATTCCTTCATCCTCCAACTTTTTCCCACTAATAGGCTCTTCTTTCATCTCACAGTCATCTCAGTCTTCTATATCCTGCAAAAAGAAGAAAAATGTTAGCTTATTCAACCTATTTTTCTTCAGCAGTTTCTTATGCCAAAAGTTAAATTATTCTTGATTCAATGGGGGATAAGAAACAGAATATATCTCCCCTATGGGGAGAGAGAAAAAGCCCACACATTCCACTCATGAGGCTCCCACCTTTCATACATTATATGTTATTTAAAAGCTAGACTCTGTGTAAAGCAGACTTAAAAGCTTTACAAAGTCATAACCATTACTAAATAAGCCATCATTTCTTTATTTACTTCTTTTTGTTTTTTTTTTAAATAGTGTCTGACTCTGTCACCCAGGCGGGAGGATAGTGGGGTGATCTCTGCTCACTGCAAACTCTGCCTCCCAGGTTCAAGTGATTCTCATGTCTCAGTCTCCCGAGCAGCTGAGATTTCAGACCTATACCACCACGCTCAGCTAATTTGTTTATCTTTTTAGTAGACACACGGTTTCACCATGCTGGCCAGGCTGATCTCAAAGTTCTGACCTTAAGTGATCCGCCCACCTGGTCTCCCAAAGTGCTAGGATTACCGGCATTGGCCACCACGCCCAGCCAAGCCATCTTTTAAATCTCCTCTTAAGAGGAATCTTTGAGACAGTTTAGCAGCAGGTGTCAAGAACCTTAACTGTTCATAGTTTGTTCCAGAAACTTGACTTCTAGAATTGTATTCCAAGAAACTAGTCTAAGATGTAAACACAAATTTAGGCATAAGGATACCTATTGCAACCTTGCAACCACAAAAACACACACAAAATCTGCATGTGCAAAAACAACAAAACAGTGAACTCAATTCCATGAACTATTAAGAGGCCACTGAAATACCAACACAGCATAATTTCTCCTGTATCAAAAAACTTTGAAATGAAAAATGGAATACACAAAGGAACAGAAAGAATTTCAATTATGCTGAAATACGCACAGAAAAAGATCAGAAGGACTTATATTGAAATGTTCATTTCAATTAATTTTAGTTGTTATCTCTGGAGCCATTTGGTGCTTTCCCTAATTTCAGTTTATGGTTTTATATAGAAAGCATCTATTGACGTTAATAACCAAAAAATGAGTCAGAAAAAGAATTTGATTTCAGGTGCTCAGGAGGTTGAAATAGAGGGCTCGTTTAGGCCCAGGTGTTTGAGGCTGTAGCAAGCTACGATCATGCCACTGCACTCCAGCATGGGTAACAGAGACCCTATCTCAAAAAATAATAATAATTTTAAAGGAATTTGAACGATACCCCCCAGAACAACATCTTTATTCACATCATTCTGCTCCCTCCCTTCCCATACTATCTGTTCTTACACATACACAAATATATGCAGATTTTTAAAAATCCTTTTTTCAATTACATTATTTTTCCACTTCAAATGCCAAATACTCTAAAGAAGTAGTTTATACTCATTTCGATTCTTTTTTTTCCAAGCCGGCTAATTCACTGATTTCTAGACCAGGTTACTGACTACCTCCACTCAAACTCTGCCCATGACTCCATATGTCATGAAGCTCCATTCTCCCTGTGTGCACCTTTCAGCCCTGACCTTCTGTCCTACGCTTGTTTTCCTCACAATGCTCACAAATGCCTTTGGTCTGTATTTCCTCCTATACCTTCAACCTCAGTCATGTTCCCATCCACAAAACTTCCCCACCTTAGTATTAATCAGCACATCGCAAACAGAATTCAACATATCTTTCTAAAGCAATATCCTCAGCACACTATTCCCTGCTCAAAGTCTTCTTATCAATAATCACACCAAATAGAAACACACGCCTGTCTCGATTTCAAGACTTTTAACCATCTGCCTTTTCTGGCCAATCTTGCTTTCCATGACTTCAACACATCAACCTTCCTATTCAAAAGAAAAGCATCCAATGTACCCAAACCCACCATGTCCAAGGTTGTTCTGGGCCTGTTCCCATGTTCTTTCAGGAGCCTAGAATATCTGCTTTTCACCTGTCCTCATCTGACATCTCCAACGTCCAGTCTCTTACCTTTCTAGATTTCCCTCAAAGTTGCGGTCCCTTGTTCATTATCTCGTGAGGGGAAAACGAAAGGGTTCATGATCTTTAGTACAATGGCCGCCTGACCCACGGAAAAGGTTTAACGTTTTCATGCAGTTTATTCCACCTCAGCTAAACTGCATAAAAACATTGAAAGAAACTCTCATTCTAATTGGACAATTCTAAGAAGTATTTTCCTCCCAGACTCATCAAAGAAGCCTACAGCCAGGCATAGCGGTGCACGCCTCTGGGAGGCCAAGGTGGTGGATCACTAGAGGTCAGGAAGTTCAAGACTAGCCTGGGCAACAGAGCGAGACTCAAACTCTACAAACAAACAAACAAACACACATTAGCTGGACGTGGAGCACCCGCCTGTAGTCCCAGCTACTTAGGAGGATTGCTTGAACCTGGGAGTTCAAGGTTGCAGTGAGCCGTGACCATGCTACCGCTCTCCAGCCTGGGTGACAGCGAGACCCTGTCGCAAACAAATGAAAACAAGCCTACAACACTACTTCTTTAGTTCTGAAGCACTGTAAAGTAAATTTTACATTAATAATTTCTAAACCAAGAAAATGAAAACCTAAATTAATTATAAGACCCCAAAGAGAAAATATCTTCTAAAACAATCAAGACCATAACATTCACATACCTTCTATTTGGTCAATGCAGAGACACAGATCTTTTTTCCTAAGTCTGAATTTAAATACAAAGCTTCAGAGCCTGGAAACATCTAAAATTATACCCAGGACTTACAACTGGCCTAGGCTCAATGTTGTTGGAATCTGCTCCAGTAAATTTGCTACCGTTCAAATGTGGTCCCTCCAAAATTCAGGTGTTTCTAATGTGATGATATTGAGAGGCAGGACCATTAAGAGGAGATCAGACCAAGAGGGCTCCTTCCTCCTTAATGGGATTAAGGCCCTGATGAATGAGGCTTCACACATGGGACTAGCTTGCTCTCCTGCCCTTCTGCCTTCTACCATCTGAGGATGCAACAATGCCCTTAGACACCAACTGTTGGTATTTTCATATTGGACTTCTCAGTCTCCAGAACTGTTAGAAAATAAATGTCTGTTCTGTATAAATCACCCAGTCTCTGGTATTCTGTTACAGCAGCATAAAACAGACTGAGAGAAAATTCCTTGATGATTTTTCAACAAGAGACAGTTTCACTACTTCTGGTGAATAGTCCCTAACATGTTCTCAAATTCTCCTTTTACGCAAACATAACATTTTTTAAACGTAGTAGTTCCTCTTCCTAAAAATAACCAAATGCAGGCTAAGGACTGATTAGTATTAAATATAAATACAACTTTGGTGGTAAAAGTTAAGGACTTTTGTTTTCCACGAAATCAAATCCAAAGAATTCAGATAAAGCTATTTGCTCAAAGGCGTATCATCAGAGGAAAAGCCAGAGTTGAGAAATTGTATTGCATTCCAAATACAATGTGCTTTCAATTATTCCACATTAATAGTAGCTTACAAAGGAGATTTATGGAATTACTCAAAAATGACAACATTTATGAAATGTCATTCTTATATAAAATACCTACTTCAGCCATCTCCTCTTCTTCCTCTTCCCCTGAAGTCACTTCCTCTGTTGTCCTATTCTGAAACAGAGAAAGAATCTGCCAGGGTTACACAGGCTGAATATAGGCTAAGTCCATTAGAAGACTGGTGCCATAGCTTTAGGGACAAACTCTCAACCATCTGTCACTGCAGTGCCACTACCAGAGAGCTTATTAACATTAAATGTTTATTTTTAAATCCAACTATGGTTTGACAAACAACAGTCATCAGCTTTTAAAAATGGAACAGAAAATAAAAGAATTAGGAATAAAGAAAAGCAATCAAATATAAATATAAAACATAAAAAATATAAGTAAAATATAAAGCAAAACTGAAAAAAACGTTAAAACGGAATCTAAAATAAGAAAACATTTTACTTACATGGCTATGTGTATAAGAACAATGGCTTATTTTGTTTAAAATAAATATCACAAACTATCCATTCCTTAAAATAACTACCTTTTTAACCTTGAAAAGCCTGAATCATTACATAAATTCAACTGCCTTTCATTTTAAAAGATCAGATTGTGATTTATAGACACTTCACAAAACTATTATGAAATGATTACCAACTTACTAAAAGGCAAATTTTAGTTTTAAAAACATATTATTTACTAAAAAATACTTCTCTACAAAACAGAATTTACCAACTGACACAACTGACAATCATCAAGTTTAGAAATGAATTTAATGGGGTTTTAGGAAGGGCCTTCATACCCAGTTTGGACAAATTTCAAAAGATAAGCTTCCTGGCCAGTGTACAGTATATAAATGCATCTTTAATCATGAAGGCCAGTTCAGGTTAGAATCCAGAATACGTAAAATATCAAGAAACTAGGATCCAGAGATCCAGTAAGACCAACAAAGGTCTCAGCACTTTCTAAGCATCTGTTCTGGGATACTCTGATGGAGGAATACTTAAGAAAAACAAACCCATGATCACAGAGGGTGTTAGAACTCTTCTGGATTAGTGAGCTGGAGAATGCCATGTAGATAAACATACCCATGCAGAATTAACTTGTATTTCCTTTAAATCTGCATCTCTTTAGACATTCTTTGTCTTCTAAAATCTAAATGGAAAAAGGAAGCGAGCAGCAGCTTCCAAAATGTAATTCACCCCTTCTTCATTTCCCTAAATTGTTATATTACAAATCAAAGTATTCTGGGTATCTAAAGTATATATACTTGGCCTAAAAGTCCCAAAGACTTTGGTTGTATCAGTGATTAAAAGAGCACTTTTGAAACACTCCTTGCCCAGGTGTGGGGGCTCATGCCTGTAATCCCAGCAATTTGGGAGGCCGAGGCGAGTGGATCACGAGATCAGGAGATCGAGACCACCCTGGCTAACATGGTGAAACCCAGTCTCTACTAAAAATACAAAAAATTAGCCGGGCGTGGTGGTGGCGGGCACCTGTAGTCCCAGTTACTTGGGAGGCTGAGGCAGGAGAATGGTGTGAACCCAGGAGGCAGAGTTTGTAGTGAGCCGAGATCACGCCACTGCACTCCAGCCTGAGTGACAGAGTGAGACTCCGTCTCAAAAAAGGAAAAAAAAAATGCTAATTTCAATGCCTACCCTGAGAATCTGGGGTTTTGTTGTTGTTGTTGTTTTTTGAGATGGAGTCTCACTCTCTCACCAGGCTGGAGTGCCGTGGCAGGGTCTCAGCTCACTGCAAGCTCCGCCTCCTGGGATCAAGTGATTCTCCTGCCTCAGCCTCCCGAGTAGCTGGGACTACACGCGCCTGCCACCACGCTCAGCTAATTTTTGTATTTTTAGTAGAGACAGAGTTTCACCATGTTGACCAGGATGGTCTCGATCTCTTGACCTCATGATCCACCCACCTCGGCCTCCCAAAGTGCTGGGGGGAATCTGTTTTTAAAAAGCTCTCTGAGGTGATTCTGACATGCATCCATGTCTGTAACCATCAGCCCAGTTACTCTCTTTCATTTTACAAACGACAAAGCTGAGCCCCCACCCCTCAAAAAGGGTAACTAATTTCATCAAAACAAAAAGTGAGTTAGGGTTGTGAAATCCTAAGATGAATTTCTTTTCAGGATGTGGCCTGGTCCTCTTTCCAAAATCCCATCAAAATGACAGTATTTTATTAAAAAGAATAAGCCTGCCACAGCAGCAGAAAAATAACACATACAAGGAGAATACCCTGAGTGAACCAAAACCACAGGGACATGCCGGAAGACACAGAGCAGATGGAATCAGTCTGCTGGGCTTGACAAAGCCACAAACCCAATCCAAATAATGGAGGGACCACTTTTTTCCAGAACAATCTAACATTCTTTACTGTACTTCTCCCAGCTACAGTTGGTAAGGATCACCCTCCGATATAGGAAGCCTATCTTGATGGCCTCTTACTATGAGTGTGAAAACCAGAGAAAAAAGACAATGTTTTTAATATAACTCAACACAGCAGCAAAATCTTGAAAGAGACACCGTCTCTGCCTTTTAACTCAGGAGCTAGAAAGCTCTCCTGCCAGCACCTCCCCACCCTGGTGCCACAGGATGAGCATGAGTCTGCAAACCAGGAGAGGGAGGCCACAGCAGAAAAGAGTGACAATTCTGAAGACACCTGTGATGGTTAATACTGAGTGTCAACTTGATTGGATTGAAGGATGCAAAGTAGTGACCCTGGATGTGTCTGTGAGGTGTTGCCAAAGGAGATTAACATTTGAGTCAGTGGGTTTGGAGACGGAGACCCACTCTTAATTTGGGTGGGCACCATCTAATCAGCTGCCAGCGAGGCTAGGATGTAAAGCAGGCAGAAAAACATGAAACATCTAGACTGGCTCAGCTTTCCAGCCTACATCTTTCTCCTGTGCTGGATGCTTCCTGCCCTCGAATATCGGGCTTCAAGTTCTTTAGCTTTGAAACTAGGACTGGCTTTCTTGCTTTTCTGATTGCAGATGGCCTATTGTGCGATCTTGTGATTGTGTGAGTTTAATACTCCTTAATATAAATATGTGTGTGTGTATATATATATATACTTTAGTTCTGTCCCTTTAGATAACTCTAATGCAACAGTCATATCAACAACTAATACTGATCAATGGTATATCTCATGTATAAATGAACACATAACCATGCACCATAGAGAGTTGAAGAAAACTAGCAATCTGAAAGGAAGGTGCCAAGTCAAATAAGCACAAATGACCTGAAGCAGTACCAATGAAGGAAATAATCAGAATTTAAAAACCTAATTGGAATCTTCAGCAGTAATTGAGAAGATACTGTATCCACAAAACAAAAAACAGGTTACTATGTAAAAGACAATTCTAGTAATAAAAATAAGATACCCTCCCCCTGAATAAATAAAAAACAAAAAACACCTGTAGGAGGGCCAGAGCACAATAGACTTCTCAACAAGGCATTTATGATTAGGAAAATAAAACTGTGACATTCCCTTAGAACAGAGGAAAAAAAGGAAATGGAGGGGGAAAAAAGAAAGGGAATAGTTAAGGGACATGGAAGATAAAGAGATCTAACATTCATCCACAGGATGGAAGGGAATAAAAAGAAAGAGAAGAGACAAACGCTGTTGAGCCAAAGAAAAACTTGAGAATATTAAGTGGCTCTGAATGCCCCAAAGGAATACTGAAAGCCAGACACGGTGGGTGGCTCATGCCTATAATAACAACACCTCAGGAGGCCAAGGTAGGAGGATCACTTAAGCCCAGGAGTTCGAGGCTAGTTTGGGCAACATGGTAAAAACCCATATCTTCAAAAAATTTTTAAAAATTAACCATGCATGGTGGTGCGCACCTGTAGTCTCAACTACTCAGGAGACTGAGGTGGGAGGACTGCTTGTGCCCAGAAGGTAAAGGCTGCAGTCAGCCGTGATCGCACCACTGCACTGCAACCGGGCAACAGGGCAAGACCCTATCTCGAAAAACAAATACTGAAAAGTAAAACCCCACACATTACAATTACAGAGAAAATCATACTAACTACCAGAAAGAAGTAAGAATCAGAGAGGCATCAGACTTTTCATTTGTAACAATAAATATCAGAAGATAAAAGTGTAAAGAACTGGGAAGAGACTCAATTATAAACTTAAAATTCTATATCTAGCTCCATCAAGACAGGAAGCATCTCTGTGTCTGTTCGCCTCTGGATTCTCCACACCAATGTGGGTATCATTCAGGGCTATACTTGAGGGACAGGGAGCAGGAGACATAGTACAAGAAACAGCAATGAGCAAAGACAACAGTAACACCAACAGTGAAGTCTAAACGATTGCTCACAGGTCACAGGCCATATTCTCTGACCACATTGATGCACTAAAAATAACTCCAAGACCATGTGAAAATGCTTTTTAAAAAGTTATTTTTTCTAGATTATTGGGTAAAAGAAGAAATTGATCCTCATGCCCCAGTCATCCAACTAGTAAGTATGGGCCCCAGAGAAATGCTGGCACAGGGGTACCATGAAATACAGACAAGAATAATCACAGCAGCATTCGCTGTTCCTAACGACACTGGAAACAATACAGATGTCTGCAAATAGTCAAGGGGATAAACAGTATGGTGTATTCAATAATGGAGTAAATACAGCAATGCAAAAGAACTATAGCTACACACAATAGGAACAAATTTCACACACAATGTTGAACACAACAAAGGTATGAAAAATACATAAAATATAATTTTCAAAAGCTCAAAAAATAGGCGACACTAAATTACATTTTTCAAGGATGCACACGAGTGATAACACTAGAGAAAAATAAAGAAAGATGAGTGTACAGAGAACAGCGATCTGGAAGCAGCCGGCAGACGTTTCTGTAGTGCTAGCAATGTGCGTTCTCTTCACCTGGGTGCTGGCCAGGTTCCCAAGTAGTCACTCTAGCTGTGTGTTACACGAAGCTTATGTTTTACACATTTTCAACACATGGTATTTCTCACAACAAAAAGTTTTAACAGTAAGAGCAATGTGAACAAAAGATGGAATAAAACTACTTAGAAAATACAAACTATTTAGAAAACAGATCTTAAAACTTGTGCAATAAAGCCAACAGCACCCAAAGAAAATATATACCCTTACGTGTTGGTTTAAAAAGCAATTTAAATTACATTGATCTACTAAACTAGAAAAATCAAAATAAACAAAACAGGGAAATAATTAAGACATAAGCAAAAAGTGAAAAAGAAAACACTGGACGTAAAAAATAAAACGAAAGGAGGATTCTTTCAAAAGACTAAGATAATAAAACAGTCAAGCCTCTGATAAGTAATTAAGATAAAGAAAACTTCTGAAGTGAAAAGGGCATATAGACACATGTGAATATGATACAAAAAATGAAAACTTTATACATCTTTACAACAGCCTAGAAGTATGGATGAAGCAATCCTTTTTTTTTTTTTTTTTTTTTTTAAGACTCTACAGTTACTAAAACTAACTGAAAAAGTGGGAAATCTGGAGACCAACACATATAGAAGAAGAAAAACGGCAGTCAAAGACTCATCCTCCAAATTGGATATTTATTTAAACCAGGGTTTCTCAGCCTCAGTGATATGTATATACTGGGCAGGCAATTATTTGTGGAGGGTTCTCTTGTGTATTGCAGGACGTTTAGTAACATCCCCTCTACGCAAGAAATACCAATAGCACCTCCCATCATGACCAGTTATGACAACCACAAATGTCTCCAGATTATTTCCAAATGTCCCATGGGGGGCAAAAATCTCCTCCAGTTGAAAATTACGGTGTAAACTAGAGCTACATCCCAGATCTTAGAAAAAAGACGTAAAGCCTCCCAAGTCAGCCCTGCATACCCTCGGCACTGAAATGAAATAAGAGCTGTGAAGGAAACAAACAAAACTATAATCTTATTTAATATAAAAGTAAAAACACAAAAATAAAATACTACCATGTCCATTCTAACAGCATTTATTATAGGAATACAAGGATGATTCAAAATTAGGAAAATTTCATCAAGTAATTCACAAATTATATTTCTGGAGAGAATTGAAGGCACAATCATGAAAAACAAAGTAACTCTACATGCATTAAGTCCATGATCTATTCAGTGAAAAACACAGGCTGCAGATGTCTTACAGAGGGAAAACTGAACACTGAACACATATTTCTCCCATCTGCTTTTTTTCCTGAGGCTCCATGGGAATTACGGTGAAGAATGAACATTGTATAAACACACACGATTCCAAAAAAAAGGAATGGGGTTACCAATAGAAGAGAATTCACCTCCAATAGACAACGACGGTAAACGAGAAATGGTTAATAAATGAAGCAAAGCAAACAAAGGTGGAGGTTAGGGGGACACCAAGAACAAGGAGGCTAATTTGTCCCACAGCAACCTGGAGAGGCACTAGACTCAGGCACCAGGTACCCTCGAGAGTGGGACTGATAGGCAAGACTGTAAACATATTAACCAAAAGCCTACATACAGAACACATTTTCCAGGCCCTGAAACACATTGTTCTCCCCCATCTCCTTAAGCAGAACTCAAGCAAATATGTATCTACCTCAGGCAAGAGAATGGAGATTTCATCCCCAGAGGAATGGAGTAGTTCCTGCCATCATTTATGATGGCACAAGGAGGTAAGATAGAGGGGTGGGGATAACAACTGGGAATCAGCATAAATTCCCCCTAAAAACCCTTCCTCCTAAAAGCTATCAGTTGACAAGTCTTGACCACAAAGAACTCCCAATCATTTTTTTTTTTTTTGAGACAGTGTCTCACTCTTTCGCCCAGGCTGGAATGCAGTGGCATGATCATAGCTCACTGCAGCCTCAACCTCCCAGGCTCAAGCGATCCTCCTGCCTCAGCCTCCTCAGTAGCTGGGACTACAGGCGGGCACCACCAAACCCAGCTAATTTTTTATTTTTTGTAGAGACAGGGGTCTCACTATGATGCCCAGGCTAGTCTTGAGCGCCTGGGGTCAAGTGGTCCTCCCATCTCGGCCTCCCAAAATGCTGAGATTATAGATGTGAGCTACCACACCCAGCCTCCCAATCAGTCTTTTAGTGCCTCTCTCAAATATGAATGAACAAAAGAGGGAATTTTAAAAAAGACTACAAATGATGAGCAACATAGAATAGATATTTGAGGAAATGCTTTTGAAAGAAAAATAAGACCAAAATAAACTGACAATAAAAATTATTAAAGAAAAAAGAGACACTAGGGAGAGGACAAAAAAGTATCAAAATAGCTCCCTAAAGACACTTGTGAATATATTACATCTATAAAACAAAAAACAGAATATGAATAAGGAATAATCGGAGAAGAAAAAGTTCTTAGAACTCAGGCTTCATCTTTGGAGTTGGTCCCCAATGAGCCACAACTCCCGTCATTCATGTCCTTGGAAGGGCCCATTCCACAGTGAATCTAGGTTGGCTCCGAGACTTACTTTAACCTATAGAATGTGGGAGAAATGACACTGGATGTGTTCCAGGTCTAAGCCTTAAGAACACCTGACAGCTTTCACTTTTGTGCTTCTGGAAGCCAAAAATGAGAACCGACTATCTTCTTGGAGAAAGAAAAGCTACGTGAAGAGGCCCGAGAGAATAAGATGCTATGTAGAAAGGCCACAGGAAGAAACACCAAGACAGCAGACCTGTGGGTGAAGACGTCGTCTCAGACATTCCACTGCAGCTGAGCATCCAGACGACCAGTCCCTGCCACCGTCTAACTGCACAGTGAGAGCTCCCAAACGAGACCAGCAGAAAAACTGTCCAGCTAGCCCATTAACCCACACAATAGTGAGAGAGAGACAAATTTGCTGTTTCATGCCATTAAGTTTTGGGATAATTGGTTAGGCAACAATAAATAACCAAAACAAAACTTAAAGTTATGACTATCCAAATAAAATTTCCCAAAAGCTTGTACACACATGGCCACAGCAGCAGTATTCACATTAATCAAAAGGTAGAAACAACTCAAATGTCCCTCAGTGGATGAGTGGATAAATACAACTTAATACAGCCATTTGGCTGCAGTGAGCCAAGATCGCGCCATTGCACTCCAGCCTGGGCAACAAGAGTGAAACTCTGTCTCAAAAGATAAAAAGAAAAACAAAAAAATATAGCCATTCAGTGGAATATCATTCAGCCACAAAAATGAATGAAGTACTGACATGCGCTACAACAGGGATGAACCCTGAAAACATTATGCTGGAGAAATAAGCTGGACACTAAAGGGCACATGTTGTCTGATCCCATCTTTATGGATTATCCGGAATGGGCAAATCCAAAGTGAGAGAAAACAGATTTTTCATTGTGGGGACTGAGGAGAGAGGGAAGAATGGGGAGTGACCGTTTAATAAGTACAGGGTCTCCTCTGGGGGCAGTGAAAATGTTCTGGAGCTAAATATCAGAGGTGGTTGCACAACATTGTACTAAATGCCACTGAACTGTACACTTCAAAATGGTAAACTCTGTGTTCCATGTGTATTACTACAGTTTAAAAATAATGGGAGAAGCAAGAGCAAGGAGAGCCCTCTAAGGGTCTCAAACACATGCCCTATGAGAGCACCTTCACCCAAGCTCTACGGAGGTCACCCGTCCGCTTGTACTGAGCTAACCCTCCAGTGACTGACACCCAGGCAAAGTGGGAGATGACCCAGGAAGGGTGGGTTATCTGCCTCTTCTCCTGGTCACCTGCCTCACATACCAGGTGCCACTCTGGGTCCATCTGTGGGGAAAGTGGAAGCTCTGACACTTACAGCTCCCAGTGCTGCAGAACTAGAGAGAATTCCATTTGGTTTTGTTCAATTCTCAAATGAGAAAATCATCACCAACCCTTTCTAATACCATTGCTTAGGGGCCAGCATGGCTGCTTCTACATGTCTGCTGCAAACACCTGCAATTTTTCCATCCTGCTAACTTAAAAGCAAGAAGCCCTGTGTGCATAGTTTAATGACAGCAACCTACTGGGGCTAAAAATCAATCACATGGCTCTAGGAGGCTCAAGCCTATAGTTCTCCTAGGAGGCTTGACCTGTGACCTCTCCTGTATTCACCCAGTGGCCTCCACACTTGGCCCTGAGCCCTGCACACATTCTGAGAAAACTTGCTTGACATCTGAAAAATGAATGCAACGATGGTGCCCAAGCCAAAAGGATATTAAACGATCATTAGTAAGTCAATATTAGACTTCAATTTCCAGAGGACATTTTCTATAGTATTTACCTTCCACTCATTTACACAGGCCAGATCTCTGTTCTCCTAATATGAGGAGTCCACAGTTCTGGTCAATAAGATTAGTCCCAATAAGAAAAAAAAAGCAACTGAGTTTAGTCTCGATGGAACTGCCTAAGGCTATAGACATTAAAACAAACTCCTACAACTCATAATTTGAAGAACAAGTCTCACCAGATGACACATAAAGAAGATACCAATGATCCAGTTAACTTCACTTAATCTACCTGTCTAATTTTATGAATATACAAAGAATACCTGGGATATTTAAATTTGTGGAAAAGGCGAGAGGATAGCAGAAATAGCTGTTATTTAATGATGGATTTAACAATATATGTTTATTTTAATGACACTCACAAGGCATGACCACAACCACTTTACTGTAAGCCATAGCCTGTAGGATCCATGTTCCTTCCACTCCTGCCAAGGTAGGATCACGACCCACACAAGACCTAGGAGAGAAGGGGAGGCTCCCCACCTCCCGCTCAGGACGTGGCTGTATTATTTACTCAGGGCTCATTTTGGCCTTGAATGTCCTCCTAAAACCTCCCAGGGATGTGCCGACCCACCGCCCCATGACCACACACGCCAAGTCCACAGGCCCACAGGTCCACAGGTCCACAGGTCCACAGGTATGGGTGTAATCATAGCTCATCCCTACTGTGGCTATATCCAAACAGTTTTGATTGGCCCAAAATGTTTTTGCTTCCTTGTGGGTGATATGGTTTGGATATTTGTCCCCACCTCCGTCTCATATTGAAATGCAATCCCCAATGCTGGTGGTGGGGCCTGGTGGGAAGTAGGTGTCTGGATCATGGGGAGAATCCCTCACGGATAACTTGGGCCATCCTCTTGGTGATAGGTGAACTCCTGCTCTGAGTTCACAAGAGATCTGGTTGTTTAAAAGTGTGTAACTTTTAAACAACCCCCCGATCAATCAATCACTCTCTCTCTCTCTCTCCCCCCTATTCTCACCATGTGAAGTGCTAGAACAGCCTAATACAGTGTGATTCTGGCTACATGGGTGCAGACTGGCTCAACTTAGTTTTAGAGGATCCAAACTGGCTTGAGCCAGTTCATCGTCCAAAAACTTTTTCTTTCTTATTTCTTTTATTGTGGTATGTATACATAACATAAAATTTACCATCTTAACCATTTTTAGGTGTAGAGTTCAGTGGCACTAAACACATTCACACTGTTGTGCGATCTTCACCATCATGCGTCTCCAGAACTTTTCCATCTTCACAACTGAACCTCTGCACCCATTAGACAACAGCTCCCCACTCCCTGCTCTCTCCAGCCTCTGGCCACCCCCATTCTACTTCCTGTTTCTGTGATTCTACTGTGGGTGCCTCAGAGAAGTGGAATCACACAGAACTTGTCCTTTTGTGACTGGCTCTAGCAGGATGTCCTCAAGGTTCATCCACAATGTAGCCTGTGTCAGAATTTCCTTCCTTTTTCAGGGTGAATGAAATTCTATTGCACATGAAATCCTTTTCTTTTGTACTGTGTTCGCTACGCCTGCGGTTCAGAAGAGCAAGAGGAGCCTTGACCTGCCATTACTTTGTCTGTGGAGTGGGTTTTGAGGGCTGGGGAATGGCTAGATGACCCCCCTCTCTTGAAGATGAACACAGATATTTCTAAAAGTGGCTAGTATGCTATATCGTTCACATACTTGGGGCCCAGTGAATGAATCAAGAGGGGGCAGACAGGCTCCAGAGGCAGAATCAGAGGCCACCTGCAAGGACATGAGCCAAAGGACAGAGGCTGATGAAACAAGAGGGTAAATGAGTGATGCTGCCACACATGGCAACAGCCTGCACCCTGACATCGCACCCGAGCAGCCCTTGGGCAGCAGTGTCTCCCCACCTTAAGTCCAGCTCAGGCTCCCGGCCCTGCACAGCCTGGCTGCACCCAGAGCAGACCTGGCGGGCCACTCATGGGGCAGACCCAGAAGTGAGTCAGCACCCAGTGTCTCTTAAGAGGCCCAGGACAAGGCTGGGTGCAGTGGCTAACACCTGCAACCCCAGCACTTTGGGAGGCTCAGGTGGTTCACTTGACCCCAGGAGTTCAAGACCAGCCTGGCCAACATGGGGAAACCCTGTCTCTACAAAAATACAAAAATTAGCCAGGCATGATTGCGGGTGCCTATAATCCCAGCTACTCGGGAGGTTGAGACAGGAGAACTGCTTGAGCACAGGAGGCAGAGATTGCAGTGAGCTGAGATCATGCCATTGCACTCCAGCCTGGGCAACAGAGCAAGACTCCATCTTGGGGGGAAAAAAAAAAAGGACCAGGACCAGACAGAGGCCTGGACCATGGGTAGTTGTTGACACTGGAGGAGCGGAACAGCTTCTGTGAGCCTAGCCCAAACATCCTTCAGCTCCAACAGTTTGGGCCTTGGCTTGGTCTCAGCTGGAGGGAGATCAGCTTCTCTTCTGTGAAAGCTGACTGGGGAATTAGGGACAGACATGGGTGTGGCAGGTCCTGGAGGCCTCTATCAGCCCAGGGGCTCCATTCTGTTACACATCTCCTTTCTGCACACGTCTGAGTTGTGCGTAGTTTTCCTGAGCTGCCCGTGGTATTATCTGACATAGGATTAGGAGTTATTCTTGGTCAGCCCCCTATTACCATAGTCCCATGTCTTTTCATAGTAACTGACTAGCAATGGTTACAATCTAAATGCTTTGGGTTTGTAAAATTCCCATGACTGCCATCCCACCACCATGGGACTTCCTATGCATCCCACAGCTCCCTGTAAACACAGAATTGCTGTGAATGACAGGAACACCCCCAAAGTGAAGTCAACTGACACTTAACATTCTTTAGAGAGAACACAAGACATTAAAATACAAGTGCTGAAAATCCAAGAGTCAATATGATTTCCATTCCAAACCCAAGCTCTCAGCATACACACACACACACACACACACACACACACACTCAAATTCATGAATTCTTCTCAGAAAAAAATGTTTAATAGTTAAGGCTTTAAAAAATATGAAAGCAGTCCACATAATTGGCCAAATACAAGTTCCTTCACACAAGTCCAATAATCACATCTTCTTTATATACTTACAGTGAGGCTTTTTTTTTTTTGGAAGGCAGCTTTTCAAATGTGTTTATCAGAATGCATGCTGACTTTGCCATAATTAAAATACAGTTATGCTGACATTCACTGCCCTCATTAGCATGCGTTTCTTCCCTGAGGTTTTTGTCAAACCTTCAAAAAATCATTTTCCAAATAGTTATTCACAGCTATTTACCCACCAGGCCAAGGCCCCCGGGCTTTCAGAGAAGCGTCCACTGTGAAATGCACTCTGGACCCCACCCCAGCCACCAGGCCACCCAACACTGGCCACAGCAGTGTGTGAGCACCAGCACCCCCACGTCTTTGCCACTGCCCTGCTGGTCTGAGTACACTCCTGAGGATGGAGGGGCTCTCCCAGACACTGTCCCACCATGAGCAGACCCAGGGCAGCGGGCAAGAAATCCAACCTCTCTTCTAGGGTGGGAGGAGGGGTGTCTTCTGCGAGACACGAGTCGCCACTCAGCCCTCAACCGGCTTCACTCCTGAGTCTCAGGGATGAGCTTAAGAGTGGCCGGAGCATCCACACAACACGTCTCCCAACTGGACCAATGACAAGCTCAGCCACCATCAGAACTGTAAGGCACCCAGCACCCCCAACTCCATCACTTCAGCATCTGTGAGGCCTGTACCCTGAGGTCCCCTGCTCTCGGGCCCCTCTGCTCCCTTCCCTGGGACAGCCAGAGTCCTACCTGCTCTGGGAGCCACTTTGGCCTCTCTTCTGGGGTCCTGGTCTTGGGCTTGAAGCCTCTCTGGGGGTCTCCAAGGTGCTTGGCCTCGGGAAGGAGGTTCAGCGACTTGGGCCTCCCCTCGTACCTGCTGGGGCTGCAGGTGGCCTTGCTGTGCGGGAAGGCCTCTCTGCAGAGTCCCCAGGCCCCAGCTCAGGTCCATGCTCGGGGCTGGCCTCACTGGCGCTGGTGATGCTAGTCATGCTCAGGCTCATCTTGATCTCAGACACGAGCTGGTCAATGTCCTCCTCCTGGTCCTCCAGGTCCCCGTCCCCGCACCTCAGGGGGTAAGCAGAAGCACTCGTGTTCCCGTTAGCCTCTGCAGGGTGGTAGTCCTGGCAGCCCTCTTTGCTGGGACAGTAGTGACCATCTTTTTCCTGGTCGTGGGACTCCAGGACGGAGGGCTCATCCTCCAGGATGGGCAGTTGGCCATCCGGGTAGTCCTGGCTGCTTTAGCCCCGTGACCATGGGGGTGTGGGCCCGCCGAGTCCATCCACTCCACCGCATCCTGGCACTCGTCAGTGTCCATGGGGTGCGCGCCGTGGGCCAGGTACTCCTCCCCATTGCAGTCCATGCCCTCCAGGTAGCTGTCGTCCTCAGGGCAGTAGATGTAGTAGGTGATGCCCTCCTCCTCTTCAGGGAGGCCCTCGTCATAGTCCTCCTCCGCGGAGATGTTGTTCACGTAGTCGGAACTGGAGTCCCCATCGGGGCTGTGGTTGTAGCACTCCCGCTCCTTGGGCGGCGGGCTCCCTGGCCACAGGGCGGCCAGCTCCAGGCCCGCGGGCACGTAGCCCTCCAAGGGCAGCTCCACGTCCTCGCTCTCAGGCTCCTGGTTGCGGGAGACAGGACCCGGCCTAGCCCTGTGGTCCAACACGCCGCTCCCCGCACGATCACGCTTCCGGTGGGCCACGGTAGACGCTTCCGGTGGGGCATGGCGGGCGCTCCCCCAGCCATCATTCCCCGAAGGCAGCCACTGTGGGGAGGAACATTGGCAAGGACAGAGTCAGAACCCCACAAAGTCTGGCTGTGCGTGGGGCCACTCCACCACCACAGCACCTGCCACCACGTTCTCCCACAGCAATGTGAAAAATGACAGCTGAAGATTTTCATTGCAGCAATCTTTTAAAAAACTGGAAACAACCTCGGTACCCATAAATAAGAGAATGTTAAATAAATGATGGCAGAGTTCACGCACTGGAAGAGTCGACAGCGTTTTTAAAGAGGCAGGGCAACGCACACTACAGTGAGGGATCTTACAGGCCTATTTTTGAGGGAAAACAGCAAGCGAGCTACAACAAACACGTGTGTAGATCCCAGTTACAGGTCCCTCAAGATGGCTAGAGAATACACACACTGCCCAGCCCATACACCTCGCAAAGGCACACAGAAAGGGGAAACCCCCAAAGGCTTGTCAGCCATGTCCTCTGTGGAGGGGAGTGGGGAGAGAGGTGGGAGCAGAGGAGACCTGGATATTTTACTTTATTAAAGATGTATGTACTGGTTTAGTGTTTCACCAAAACACATTTAATATTCACCGGCATTATAATCAAACCCACCTGTGCGCCTTTGAGGGTCTCCTTTTCTAGCTGGGGAGATGTCGGCACTGAGACAAAATGACATGTGAGGAGGGGCAGACAGCGAGGGGAGGAAGCAGGACTTCCGACACAGGCTGCTGCTCTGGCCATCAGGAGAGGTGGCAAACAGGCTGGTCTCCTCCAGGAAGGCAGCCACTGGAGCAGAGGAGCCAGCCTCCCACGCGATCAGGATGTGAGCACGCCACAGGGCACAGCCAGAGACACCCGAAGAGGGTGTAGTGAGTGTGTGGAGTGTACTGTGCATGGTGTGTGGTATGTGGTGTGGTGTGACTTGAATGTGATGTGTGTGTGTGGAGTGTGATGTGTGGTGGGTGTGGAGTGTAATGTAGTGTGGAAGGGTTGAGTGTGTATGTATGTTTTGTGTGCATGGTGTAGTGTTTGTGGTGTGTGATATGTATGGGGTGTGCATAATGTGTGTGGTTGGTGTGTGGTGTGTATGGGGTGTGTGAGGTGGGCATGGTGTGTGTGTGGTGCATGTATGTAGGCACATACATGCACACCTGTGCACTGCAGGTGACACGCAGGCCGGCAGCCCGGGACACACAGCGGTGACCAGCTCAGCCAAGGCAGGGCTCGGGGTGGGAGTGGCCAGGCCCCTGGCAGCTCAGGGCCCTGGATGAGAGTCCAGGAGGAGAGAACAAGCTGCGTCCCCATCTCCACCCAAGTTCATCACTAACATGAACCTATAATCAGCACTGAAACTGTTCCACTTCTGATTAGAATCAGAAACACTTCCAGATGGGCTCAGCACAGCCAAGGGAGGACTATCCTACAAGGCCATGATGTAGGGGTGGGTGAAGGAATCATGGCAGCAACTACCTTTTGTCTTTTTAAATGTGAAACATTTCTGAATGGCTTAAGCAACACCTATCTAATTTAAAAGTTATATGGAGATGAAGAAAGCGAAATAATACATGTTCAGCTCCAGAGACATGTAAATGAGATTGGGGGACAGAAGGAAGTGCATTAATTCCCTCCACCACCCCTGAAGAGCAGCGGCGGGTCTGAGCATCTTATCTCCACCAAGCAAGCCAGCAGGCAAGCCAGCTGCCACCTCGTCCTGTGTGAACCACAGGCACCGTCTCCCAAAGCAGGCAAATGACCATCTTATTTGTTCAGGGGAAGCAAAACGGTCCAGGGTTGGTAGCCGAGTTTTCTTCCCAACAAGACCTAACTGCCGTCATCTTTCTCTGGGACCCAGCCTCCCTGAATAGAGTGAGAGGCGGCCAGCAGAACCCCAACTGTTCTGCCACAGGCTCCTCCCTACAGAGCACAGCTCAGTGCAACAGAGTCCCCAAATCCAAGACACAGAATCCATGAAGACAAAACCTTCTGCTCCAGAAGGTACTTACAAGAAGTCAAAATTCAAATCACATCTTCTTACGGTTCTTTTTTTCTAACATAATCAATTATTTCTTACTGCAAAACCTAGAAGATGTTTACCATTTATAACCAGAAATAGCTCCTCAGAAAACAACCATAAAATGTAAATTATTCAGTGACTCATCTTTCTGGAAAAGAATAACACTGTATGAAATTGAGGTACTGCCCCAAAAATCAAGATGGCGGGCCCTGAAACTCTAAATATCTGAATTTTTAAATAGCTTCTTATCAAGCCCATCTAATAGAAACTATGTCAAGCAGATACACTATTAGAACTGATATGAAAATAAAATTTCAAACTGACACAGCTGTATCAAAAAAAAAAAAAAAGAGAGAGAGAGAGAAATCGCTTCATTGCCTTTTTAGGATTTCCAAAGATGATGTTAAACCCAGCCATGGTTCTGATCTCCAGGAAAGCAATTGCTGTGGTACAAAAGGACAAGGGTTAAAAGGGAACGGTGGGAGTTCTCTTTCCCAACTACCGCAGGCGGCGTGACGCAGAGGCTTTCAGCACCGCCCAGGGTGCCCGGGATTGAAAACTCCTTCACCAACCCCCTCATGGGTGGGAAATACTCAGATCTTCATTCCTGTGACACAAGACCTTGAAGGTTGCTGAAAAATGCTAGTCCCATCTGACTGAGGCAGCATTTTCATTTATTGCACACCATTAAGGTTTTTTTGTTTTTGTTTTTCTGTGTGTGTGTGTGTGTGTGTGTGTGTGTGTGTTTTTTTGAGATGAAGTCTCGCTCTGTCACCCAGCCTGGAGTGCAGGGGCGCGATCTTGGCTCACTGCAACCTTTGCCTCCCAGGTTCAAGCAATTCTCCTGCCTCAGCCTCCTGAGTAGCTGGGATTACAGGTGCGTGCCACCACGCCCGGCTAATTTTTGTATTTTTTTAGTAAAGACAGAGTTTCACCATGTTGGCCAGGCTAGTCTTGAACTCCTGACCTCAAGCGATCCACCCACTTTGGCCTCCCAAAGTGCTGGGATGACATACACGAGCCACCACGCCCAGCCACCATTAAGATTTTGGCAGGAATAATTGTGCTAGATACCATTATCCCACCAATCACCGAGCACTTTTCATTTCCTGCCCCTGGTGCTGTTGGATACCTTACAGCAAACTGCCGTCCCTGCCCACCCACCTGAGGACAGAAACCTCCAACTCTGCCTTGCCAGGAGAACTGACCAGTGTGTCTGACAGATGGTGAGCCTTTTGCTGTACATGGCCCTCAAAAAAATGAGAAAATTCTTTCACTCAGACCAAAGTAAGTAAACGCTGAAAGACCTTATAATGAACATCACATTCCCCAGACTGGACTTCCCCACTCCGCTGGCCATCCTTGTCAGTTCTGATTTTAATTCTACTGGTGGTTATTTTCCACCTCTCTAAATAATTTTTAAACTCTCTTTCTGGGTATATCAACTTCGGATAATATTTATTGGCATCCCATTATGAGAGGTGAGCTTTTCAAGCCACGACCTCCCAGGCTCTGGTGCAAGTGACCAGAGGATCGCACCAGCTACTGCAGTCACGCAGAGGGGCTTTCCATTCTTAGCAAGAGCACTGGGATAAAAGAGAGCCTTCCAGGAGCTCCCACCTAACTCTGGGAATACAGAAGCATCCTTTAGAAGCCCTGTGGTCACACAGCCTTCAGGATGGATACAGGTTCTTTCTTAACTTTATAAAGCCCCGGACAGACTGGCACTAATGTGACATGTTGCTGCCGCACTTTGAGGGTAGGAACTGGTTCCTGCTCCAGTTTGCATCCTCTGTGGCCAGCACCAGGCCCGTCTGCTCAATGCAGGATGAGCAGGTAGCTTCGGCCTGTCCACCCAACCCTCGCAGAGGGTGGAGCCGCAGACAGTATGAGTGGCCAAGATGAAGCCCTCACTGGCTTCTTTGACTCTTTCTACTATGAGATATTCTCCATGTCCGAGGGATGAATGGCAAACAAAACGTGGTCTACCCATACAGTGGGGACAGTAGTTAGCCCTAAGAAGGAAGCAAGTTCTGACGCACGCCACAACACAGGTGGGCCTTGAGGACATCACGCAAAGTGAAAGAAGCCAGTTGGAAAAAGACAAATGATTGTATGATTCCACTCAGATGTGTCACCTGGAGTCATCAAATTCAGAGACGGAAAGTAGAATGGTGGCCGCCGGGGGCTAGGGGAGGTGCAAGGGGGAGTTAGTGGACACAGAGTTTCAGGTTGCAAGATGAAGAAAGTTCTGGAGATGGATGGTGGTGATGATTGCACAACACTGTGAGTATATTTAATGCCACAGAATCATACACCTAGAAGTATTTGAGATGGTAAATTTCCTGTTATGTGTATTTACCACAATTTTTAGAAACTAAGAAAATTAAGGTATCCTTGATGTCAGATGCCAGGAGAGTGGTGTCAGGCATCTCACCAGCCGATTCTCCCAGAATTTTTCCTCCATTGGGTAACCACGAGCCTGGGGTATCCCAAAGAGAAGCCTCAGTGTAAAATCAACAACCTCAGTGGAGTGGTTCCATCAGGGAGTGACAGGGGCATGACTTACTACTGGAGGACAAGGCAGGAGTCAGGGAAGACGGCCCACACCTGCTCTGAACTGTAAGGAGCACGCAGAACCTCTTATCCAGACCCAGAGGGCTGCCCTGTTGACAGCACAAGCAGCTCAGGGCCAGTGGCTCAGGAAAACCCCAGGGTCCAGCCAGGTCACGGGCACAGGCCTGCACTCACAGGGCACTGCGGTGAGGATGGAGGTGCCACTGCAAATGTGTTAGAGGATATTTTCACCAACAGTAAATTTTTAAACAGATTTTAGAAGTGAACGTGTTCCCCCTGCATATGTCAAGAACCTGAGTTTCTTTCTGAAACTTGGGTGGGCCCCTTTGGAGTTGGTTCAAATAGAAAGCACACCATCAGCGGTCACTCCTCCGGGGAAAGGCAGACTTTATGGCTGCAAGGGTCGCCCGAGCACTCCTGGTTTTCAGCATCAGACAGACTGGCTCAGGTGCCCATTCATTTTATGAGTCAGCCCAGGGAGAGTCCCCACAGATTCGGAGTCATATCTGTGATGGGATGCAAGCTCTACCCTTCCCAAGCACTGATCTTGAGATTGATCAATCCTGAGCATTGATGTCTGTGAAATCAAATCACTTAGGTGCAGAGACACCGCAATGACCATCCTGCCCGGGGCTCCTGCCTGATTCCTTCCACATCCTGGTCAACATTCCCGGCCAACAGGGGAGCCCACAGACAGCTGCTCTGCCTGGCTCCTGCTGAAAGCCAACAGCAAAACAACTCTGCCCTGAATACAAAAGCCACATGGACCCTCGAGGTTGGACTGGGGCACCCCCTTTGCCTCCACTTCCTTGGGCTGTGGCCAGCCTGTCTGACAGTCACCCTGGGAGATAAGCCAGGGTCCGCCCAGGCCACCATGGGGGCAGAGACGTGAAGCAGGCTTTGGCTACTAATTTTCCATTAAACGAGAGGAAAATTGGCTATTGTGAGAAGAGTCACATGAAGGCACCTAAAAGTTGTCACAGTCCATTCATTTGAAATAAAATCCATCCCATTAGGAACATTGTCATTGCAGCCCGTTTCCAGCACTCTGCTCTGTATAAAAGGCTGACTGTGGCAAGATAAGGCTTTAAAGTTGAAAATCAAAGAGCCATTCCTCAGTGATACCCAGGAAATGAGGCACAGAGGGGCAGATGTTAAACCCACCCACACACAGAGTTACCCCACACCTACACTAAGCATCCTAAAAGTTACCGTACAGATTGCTCACTTTCAAGCAATACACAATGATACAAGTAAGTCCTCGATAAGGCTGCATGGGTTGAGGCACTGGACTTCTAATAATG